CAAGCATGCACATACTTCTCCATTCATTAATTGTAAAAAGATTACTAAATATAAAACAGAACACTGCACAGCTGTTTAAAAAAAAAGGAAGCATCCAGAGGTGAGGAAAGGCTCTAAAGTATGTCAAGTAAAATGATACAGTAGTAAACAGCAAAGTAACAACTATCAAGTAGAATGTATTGTTTTTGCAGTCAGGGGAGAATAAAAACTATTACATGTTTAGATCTTCCTAAAGATGCAGTTCAGGAACTTTTGAAAAACACAAATGTAATTGAGTATGCCTTTTAGAGGTAGGGATGGGGAGTAGATTAGAAAAGGCAGAGGGACTTTACCTTCTTAAGAAAAACTGAACCACATCAGATGACAAAAGGTTAAATTTTGGCCAGCTGCCAGAGGCTTAGGTCGATAACCCTAGTTACTCAGTTGTCTGAGGTATGAGAACCTCAGTTAAAAGCCAGGCCAAGCAGAAAAGTCCCTTAGATTCACTTCCAGTGAACAATAACAACACAAAGCCAGAAATAGAGCTGTAGCTTAAGTGATATAGTACCAACCTTGAGCAAAGAAGCTCAGGAACTATCCCCATGTGAGTTCATGCCCCAGAAACCGCCTCACTTCATTCATATACACACACTTAAACTTTAAAGCAAATCAAACTTAATAAAGTGAAAATAGTAATTATGCTGCATTTAGATAGTAAATAAATTTCATTTTAAGTCACTAAGATTTAATTATGGTATGTACAGAGGATTGGTCTAAGTTTATTGGAACTGTACAGTAACAGGGTTAGACTATAATGCCAAAAATATATGACAATCAGAAGTACTCAATAAAGCAGCAATTTAAACAATTAAACTGAGCAGGCAAATAACCTGGCTTGAACAGTGTTTGAATTTCATTCTATTATAGCTTTCTATTCATTTGACAGATAAAACTCTTCCAACACAAACCCAAAGTCCTTTTTCATTTTAATGACCCTCTAGTGATGAAAAAATTGGTTTCCTGTCCATCCATCTAGAAGTCTGTTCTAATTCTATACCTCCTTACTAAGTGCTAGCTTCTAACTGACTTCCTCTGTCCTCACTGACACTGCTTGCCAAAAAATATCCAGTTTTTCCCCCTCTTGTTTCATGTTTATCAAGAAAACACTATTTACACAAGGGCTAGGGAACACTAAGCTCACCCACAGGATGATATGGTGACACTGTAGACACCAAATACTATAACACCCTCACAAACACTAAACCATTAGGGCAAGTCCTTCGTCCTTGAGGCCTAGGATGGTTCATCCTCTTATCTAGGACTGTGGACAGAAAGAATACAGGAAAGCTCCTAGTTTCCTGTCCCACCTCCTTTCACCCACAGCTTACTGGTGGCTTTACTCCTTTCATCCCAATTCATTTTATGTCCTCTCCAGTTATCTTTATAACTTCACATCATTTTCTAACTTCAGCCTTAGACAATTTTATCTCCTGAGATCCCTAAAGTGAAGACAACTGCTTTAGAGGAAAACAACTGAGTTAGGTTTGGGATAGGGTAAGTGAAAATCACGCAGAACTGCAGACATTGCTGTATTACTGTCATTTTCATGTCATATATTTCATATTGTAAAATCCCACACCAAAAACCTGTACTATCTGGATGTAGCTTTTTCAGTTTTCTATACCCTAATTGCTATCTTCCTTGGAGTCCATTTTTTGGGAGTCTTGGTCATTCATTCCTTTTTGCATACTGAAATTTCCCTCACAGGCCTGTGAAACAGTGCTCCTGATTAATCTTCTCGTATTACAAGACATTCCCCTCATGGCTGCCTCTTCCTCTATATACCTTTCACCACCCACTAAGTGTATCAATTCTCTTTCTGAGAATGTGTAATAATTACCATCTTCTGATTCTTTTTTCCAATTTTTGGTCTCTAAGCCACTCTATGTCAATTGTATGTCTAAGCCATACAATGTCAATATACACACCAATGTCTAAAAATTACTTGTTAATTTGTTGCCTCAACTAATTAGCATAAAGCTGTAAATAAGGATTATTTTTTAATATACATGGAACAAGTCTTTCATACTTATATTACTTACCTAATGTTTCTCTACCATCTCAAGCTAAATTAAAATATTTGACATTTACATTTGGTGTAATCGAGGCTTCAAATTTGCTAGGCAGGTACCCTACCACTTAAGCTACAAACACAGTTCAATTACCAACTTTTTTCTTGTTTTTTGTACTAGTACTAGGGATTGAACTCAAGGGCCTGGAGTTCTTGTTTTTGTACTCAAGGCCAGCACTCTTACCACTGAGATATTTCTCTCCTTCTAGCTTTCTACTGCTTATTGCAGGCTGGATGGTGATCTCCTCAGATCTCAGCCTTAGTAGGTAACAGGCTTGAGCCACAAGCACCCAGTTTCAATTGCCACCTTTTAGACATTTTTCTCTCAACCACTTAGTATACAGTGTAACATAGCACAATGAACTTGGCCAGGATAAGAGGGAAAATACTTCAACAATCTGTAAATCTATAATTTATAAATTTGTATGCATTTTACAACCTCAAACAAATGTCCATTTAGTCAAAAACTATCCTTACACTAACCAGCATGTTGTTTATAACATGCCTGTCCATCTACTTTTAGATTAAGTGTTGACATACTGAGTGGGTTTTGTTCTTCCCTGTTTTACCACTGCTTTCACCAGTAGCTCATTCTTCCTGAACAACCCAGAAAGATTTCACTTTGCACCAGTATCTATCACGTTTTTGACAAGTCCAACATCCCATTTTAAAAAAGTACAATTGACATGCATTTCAAAAACCTAGAATTCAGGGATATTGTAAGAGAAAACTAAGAGGCTTCAGAAAAATCTTAGGTGCTACTTTAAATAAAGGAAATTAAAGCTCTCCATTATATTCACAATAACTATTCAGGTTATGGGAAGATAGCTGTGTGTTACCATACAAACTCAAGAACCAGAAACCAACCTGCCAAAATCCCACTTGAAGCCTCACTTCGACTTTTTATCTGATTTTATAAGGCTCAAGTTCAGTAAGACTGGCTTACTTGTGGATTGTATTACATGTAGTTTTGGCCAAGCATGATAAAAAAGTAATTTAAAATAATTTCCAATCCCTCACAAATCAGTTGTTTTCTGTTCAGTGCTTCTCTGCCCTGCATCTGGTAGATGTGTGCCTTCCAAAGAACAAACAGCACCCAGAGGAGAGCAAAGTTAGTATGCTTAACTGAGGCTATACAGTAAAAATTTTACATTTGTTCAAACCCAGCATGATGCTGGAGAAAGCTGGACAGTGATATGGGAATAACAGATCAGGCATTTGCAGTACTTGAACTCTATACATCTCAAGTGTTCACTTTTCCTCCCCAATGACATACCTAGAGATACCAAACCAAGGAGTCTAGTGTATGTGTACCCATTGAGTTTTTTTTGTTCTTTTATGGAAAGATAAACCATGTTTTTTTTTTCTTTTGGTAGTACTGACGTTTGAATTCAGGGCAGAGATGTTTACCAACAATTCTCTGTAATATGCTAAGTTACCTATGCAATCTCCAGTATATCTTTTATGAACGCACAGTATCTTTTTGAAGAACACAATCTAGAACCAATTTTCCTTCTTGTATTTTTAATGGGATCAACTGTTGATTAGAACTGAGACCTTTTCATGTGTATTTTTTACTACCATTTAAAAATAAAAAGCAAAAATATAAACAAACATAAATTTTAAAAAATAAACTTTGCACTCCCTTCTCTACCTGACGTGACTTAAGAAGGAATATCTTTTTGTCATTACATTCTACTTACTCAGACCAACTTTACAGATGTTTCTCTCAAACCAAGAGGCCTGTGTCTTTTAGTCCTTGGCCCTAAGTATGAGTAAACAGTCACACCACAGACATCCTTGGCAAAACTTACTTCTACCTCAGATTTATGCTCTTGTTTTGTACAAAAGAAGTTTTCATTTATAATGCCTATTTTCTTCTGTTTTGAAGCATCTCTCCAGTCTGTTCTTATGCTGTCTTCTTTACTGCAATTTTAAAACTGTTCTACGTCCTTTGTATCACTTTACCATATAATTCCTTAAGTCTGTGTTCCTATTTAAGAGTAGGACCATGGCATAGAATGTGACACTCGCTACTCTGGTACACTTGTTCAAGTGAGTTAAAAAACTTAATCGGTTGGGTAACATAACTAAGCAAGTAGTACAGCATGTAATACTGTTTTAATTCCAACTTCTTTTTTTGGGGGGGAGAGGGGGGGGTCTAGTCGTGGGGCCTGAACTCTGGGCCTGGGCACTGTCCCTCAGCTCTTCAGCTCAAGGCTAGCGCTCTACCACTTGAGCCACAGCGCCACTTCCACTTCCAGCTTTTTTCTTTTTGCTTATGTGGTGCTGAGGAATCAAACCCAGGGCCTTAAGCATGCAAGGCAAGTGCTCTACCACTGAGCCACCTTTCCAGGCCCTTAATTCCAACTTTTTACTGTTGTTGCTGATAAATTTGTAAGCACTGATGAAATGTTGAGTGATCAGGCACTTTTTTTTTTTTAATCAGTCATGGCACTATCCCTCAGCTCTTCAGCTCAAAGTGAGTGCTCTACCACTTGATCCACCTTGCCACTTCTGGTTTTCTGAGTAGTTTATTAGAGATAAGTGTCTTGCAGACTTTACTCCAGGGCTGGCTTTAACTGTGATCCTCAGATAGCAGCCTCCTGAGTAGGATTACAGGTGTAAGCCACTGGCGCCCGGCAGAAACCTGTTTTAAAACCACTGCAAATACTGAAGTTCTCTCCAGATCAGAGGTGGTCTGGCTAACTCTTCGTACCAGTTTCCAACTGAAAACCCTTAATAGGCAGGTAGCCCTAAGTATTTCTCCCTAAGTAAGTAAATGATAAAGCAGAAAAACAGTCCACAAAATACGGAATAAAAACAGGGCAAATGCAAATTCTTATCATTCCACACTCACCAGTTTGGCTTGTGCTTCTGCAATTTTTCGGTTATTCTCTTCTAGTATTCGTTCCAGCTCCTCACGCTTTGCCCGTTCTTCCTCCTAAAGGGGAGGACATGTTAAGATGTTAGAAAAACAAAATGTTTATTTTATTGATAAATATTTACTAATCTTCCTCTGAACTTTTGATCTGACTTAACAGGGTAGCTTTATAGCTACCTTCCATCTGACAAATGATAAACTGCGCAGTCACTAAAATTGGTTTCTAGCACTAAATTTAAATCATCCCTCCCAGTCCAACAGCAACCGACTAAACCCTCCCTAATGATAAGTTTCCTGGCCATTATTACTAATACTTTAATATCACACAAATCAACAAGGACAACTACAAAACTGGATAGTATTTACCAAATTAAAAAAAATAATATATAAAATATAAATAAAGTGAATATTTGTCTCACCAATTATGTATACCTACGTATTCTTTACCTATACTCCTTTAATCAGCATTAAAAGTTGAATATTTACTGTCTTGTCCAGTGTCCTGCAGAGTGTGCTCCTCGGCTGCCATACGCGCCAGCTTCCTCTTTAAAATGATTTGTACTGTTAGCTTGGCATACCTGCATCAGCAGCTCAACCATTTATAAAGAAACAACATACAAGGAAGGCTGAGCTGAGGAATGCAGATGTTTATGGTAAGAAGGAACAAAAAATGTAATTCATCATTCCTAAGGCAAACAATTAATAAGAAAAATACATTTACTGTTAGTGAAAAATACAAATGGTAATCCATACTTCATGGAACTAAGGGCTTCTTCCATGGGGCAAATGGACTTAACATTCAGATGTTGACAATTTCTAAAGGCAGCTTGTATTGTCATCTACAGTCTGAACTGAAATTCAGGAATCCAGGGGATGCACAGTCAGGAAATAAAATTCTGTCATCTCTTTTTTTCTTGGAGAATTTAATGAAATTTTATAATGCAAAACTATATGAAGATTGCTTGATGGTTTGGGCAGTGTTCGGATCACAGCATACAGAGTCAAATGATTTTAATATTTGGAAAGACTGTCAAGAGGATTGTGTCCGTGTAAAAACCAAAAATGTTAATATGAAACAAAAAGTAAATGAAGAGAAAAAAATCTTACTATGATTAATAACTCGCTACAAGATAGCACAGTTACTCCAAAAATATCTTCATTATTAAAAGCACTGATATAAAATATATAGATATATATTCAACTTTATAGTGTCTGTGAAATCAACTATAAATATAGGCATGTCTACCTAGTTAAAGTCAGGACAAGGGAAGATGCATTTTACAAGCGAAGTTTACTAGAAAGCAGAGATTTAGTACAATGTCAGCTTGTCCACAGGAATGTCAGGATGAGAAGTGACAATGAGCCATGTGCTGCTTTAAGTCAAACATTTTAGATAAAAGAAACAGAACTGCAGGACTTTCTATAGCCACACCAAGGATAATCACATTCATTACGCAAACTATGTTGATGGGCACTTAGTGCGGTCAGTAATTTGCCTTGAGTGTTTCAGTAACTTTCACCAAGTGATAGGATCCTGGAGTAATCAGTGCAAACAAGCCATAAAGCTTCAGTAGCAAATTACTGTCTCACAGAAAGACATTTTCAACTTCTGCTCCAGCTGCTGATAAAACAAATCATGTGTTTAGCTTGACTCCAGACAAGGACAACCTGTTCCTTCATAACTCTCTAGAGAAAAAAAGGAGTTGTTAGTAGACACTAAAAAAGTGGATGAATAATCTGGACATTTTTTCCTAAAAAAAGATTCTTTGAAACACATTAGGAAAATGGAGGGCCTTATGATCAGATTGCTAGAATTAGTCCACTGTGTCGGAGGATTTAGGGAGGGGTGAGAGATAAAAGAAGAAGAAAGAAGAGTGAGAAAACCTATTCATCAAAAGCAGGTGCTGTCACTCAATGTTTGGCCCTGTTCTTTTTCATCTGACTGCAGGCAAAAAGCCTCTCACAGTCTAGGTAAGAGTGACAAACAGTCATAGGTGGATTTGTTTGTAAACCTTTCCCCTTTACCACTCCCTGTCTCCCCCCACTCTCCCAAAAAATGTAAGTCCTGCAGCCATGGCAAAAGTTTCAAACACTTCTCAAATATGTAGGCCAGTTCCATTGAAATCGATGAGTTTCCTTAAGTTTTATAAAAAGTAACTTTTATGTATCAGTCAGCACTACTGAATAGGCTAAAAAATTAACTTTCTTTGCAGCAATGTAAGTTTAGATGAGAAAGGAATTAGATAGTCTGTATTCCATCTCTTTCTGAACTGAGCAAGAGGCACACCCAACACTGAAAGTTTTGCCATGGACTGTCTCTACTGTCCCAACGACCGAGCGTTACCTCTCTGGCTCTCTGTGCTGCTAGTTCAGCTTGTCTCTGTCGCTCGAGCTCTTCGAGCAACTGCTTTTCCATGATGCGCTTGGCTTCCTCCACCCTTCGGAGGACTTCTCGCTCAATCTCATCTTTCCGTTTTTCCAATTCTTCCTCTACCCTTTTCGCCACCAATTCTTCTACTCTTCTAGCTGTTTCTTCCTCGATGAGTTTTTCTTCTATTTCCTGCTGCCGGCTAGTAAACAAAGTAGAAACAACTTAGACATTTAAAAAAAAAAACCTTAAGGATAAAAACAAAACTAGGTATAAACTTTATCAAACCACTGAAGCAGATTTAAGGAAACTACTTATCAATGTGTTAATACAGAAAATCAAATAAATATGAACACTTTTCAATCACATTCTAAATATAGAAAATCTGGTATACACTAAGAACCTAATTAGTTTTCACTTAGAAACTATGAAACAAAAAAATCTATTATGTCATAAAGTTTATAATAAGGATAGTTTTAAAATCTATCAAATTTGCTGATCCATTCAGACTAAGGGTTTAGCTACCGAAAAGTCAAAGAAAATGTATTATGTCTTGGCAATTCAAATAGGCTGAATTCATTTCCCCAATTGTAAGAACAGAATAAATACAAATGTGAAGACTTAAGAGGGCTGATGTAATATAACTGCCACTGAAAATAGACAAGTTAGTTTGAACTTTGTATCTTCTACTGGCCTTTTCTTTTTACTGACTTTTAATTAAAACCTCCTCTAGAGATAAGAAAGTAGAACAGTGAAAATACATTTTATTATGAAAAAGTTCAATGAAGCATGTGACTATAGACTGAAATATCATTTATGTTATAAGCCCACTTTATCTGCTAAAAATAAATTTTTGTGCTGAAAATGCTGCTATTATCAAGGTATTTTCATGAAAATCTTGCAAGTTTTATCAGTGATACCCACTAGTCACATGTGTCTATAGTCTGAATTGAAGATCAATACGACAACAGGTACCCCCACTTCATTAGTTGTTGATGGTTACTTTGGATAAGCTGAGATTATATTAAAATTAATTCCATTTTTTTCCTTTAAATCACCTACAGAAAATTCTAAATTACCAAACATTGTTCATATATAGTATGCTGAGACAGTAATTTGTGCAGAATATATGAACTAGAGGCTCTGACACAGTACCCAACTCTAAAGACATCATTTATTAATACTTAAACATTTCCACAATTCAACAGATTAAAGAGTACCTGTAGCTTTTATCTTTTGCCAACTCATCTGACATAAATATGTATAAGACAGTCAATTTCTATGTGACCTTTTACTCCAAGCCATTTCCACTCAATTCTATAATTGGCATGAATTCCCCCACCCATGGGCTCTTTTACCTCCTATTCAGTGATACTATACTAATACCAACGGATCAACATTGAAATTCATTTTGATTTCTACAGCTTTCTTCCATCAAAGAGTAGGTAGGTAAGTACTAGAGAAAGTTGATTTTTCTCTCAAGGTCCTAGACATTTGGAACAATTGTGAGGATTGTTTCTTTAACATCTCCCTCCTGTAATTAAGTTATTTTTTTCAGGTGTTTGAAAGACTACTCTCCTTTCCCTTTTCAACCTCTAATCACTTACAGGATTTGGATTTCAGTAAGTTTTCTTTACCTCAGCAGTTTAGTGATAAAGTTTAATGAAGATATGAATTATAAGGAGCATCTATGGAAATTCAACAAATTTCTATGGGAATAAAGGACTGACAACTTTGGAATATGGATAGGTATTTGAGGAATAAGAATCCACCTTTGCATATGCCAACTTTTCATATTAATTCAAAATATACACTACACGTCAGCTGATTCCTATGAAGTCAATATATGTAAAGAAGCTTAAAAAACAAATAGGACACTGTAACCCTCAATGATCAGCATTAGGTGGAAAAGTGTACTTTATTCCTAAGAATAATGTAATTAAAATAATTCCAAATTAAATGTTCCACACAATGTAGACAATAAAAAAAATAGGGTAAGGTCCCATGTTTGCCAACAGTAGAAAAGTTCTCAATTTAAACAGGGAATCCGGAAAAAGCTGAAGCTATTCCTAAATCAATAGCACAATGGCCCATGACCACTGCCTTCAAAGATTTGATCCAAAAGGAGAAAATAAGCCAGGTAAATTCAGCCGATTACAGCCATAGCCAAAGCAAAATCAACATGGTGGTGAGCGGCCTGTCCTCTCTACTCCCAGGACCACCGCAAAGCAGAGGGGCAAGGTGACAGTGTCCAGGCAATGACAAGGAGGAAGTACCATGCTCAACTGAAAGGGCATGAGAACCGGCCCTCAGTACTTGTTCAGACTGTTCATTTCCATTTGTTCCTAGAGCAAACAGCACATTCCACCATGCTGAAATGGAGACAGGCAAAGAGCAAGCCCAAGGACCACTAATAATTTGATTTTTTGTTATTGGCACTAAGATGAACGTTACTTCAAACCTGAGGGAAAAACTCTTTAATTTCTTGAACCAGAAAAGGCTAGAGTATCACTGACCCATCTTTCCCTTTCTACACACTTAATTAAAAGGTTAACCTATCCCCTGCAACGTGTGCTAGGAAGTTGTCCCTCTGCCTTGTCTGTGCTTGCTCCAGCCCTCCTCACAAGCCTCTGGCTTGCAAGGTGTCCATGATACTGGTAGAGGTTGAAATAATAGTTCAAGTTTTTAATTGGGAATGATGTAAGACAAAGGTTCCCATTTTTCCAGTTTTAGGTATTTTTAAAAGTCATAATACACTTTAAAGACAAAACAGTGAGGGCACACAGCATTATGGGTAAACCCAATTAGACCCAACCTTCCATGAACTGCTAAATCATTACTGGCCAACAGCTTTTAGTATTACCAAGTACCAAATACTGCATCAAGAGTTTGACACAGCTTTATTTAAATTAACAACTGTTCCTATGAGGTAGGAATCAATGGAAAGTCTAAAATGTTCAAATTAATGGGCTCAAGTTTACACATTGTTGAGCTGTGGCTAAGAACCTTGACTGACTTCATAAGCACTTTATTAGCCTAACGTGCAAAAGTGTGAGAAGCAAAGAAGCATTAAAGAACTCATAAAGGTCTCATCAACTTTGTTAGGTCGGTGTACTGTTGTCTCAAGGTACTAAGCTCAAAAATAGTTCCACAAACTATTATTTGTTCAGAAAACGCTTTCCCTTGCCTCCAAATGCAATCAGAGATGGTGATACATGCTTGCAATCCCAATTACTCAGCAGACAGGAGGATCAAAAGAGGGAAAAACCTCCCTCCATAAGGTTAAAACCTATTTCACAAGCAGACCTGGGATTCTTTAAACCCTTTGAACCAACTACTTCCCTCTGTCATTTCTCCATCTACTATATGGAATGGATTATTCCACTGACTACTGACTCAAGTGAAACCTCTCTTCTAGGCCTCAGTCCCCTACAATCTTAACATCAGAACATCCCACAGTAGCAGTGCCATGAACGCCTTCTGCTCTTCTCCCTTGACCACTATGAACGCCTTCTGTTCTTCTCCCTTGACCACTATAGTCTTGCATTTTAGCACTTCTGTTCTTGTCCCTTGACCACTATAGTCTTGCATTTTAGCACTTCAACATAAGAGGGGCGGGGCTGTCATGACATTTATCTGCTCAGAATCTTTCCTGTTTCAACAGTAAGATCAAATCCTTCAGGTAGCATACAAGAATCCTCCCACAACTCCCAGTCTTTATTTCCCTCTCCAGTTACTCTCTACCTTTCTTACAGAACTCCACGCTGTGGTCCACATCACCTTTATTCAACTTTATAAACATTTCCTTTCTGGATCTTTATTGGGGGATGGGCACATTCTCTTGGTCCACACATATTCTTATAACTAGCCTGATAGTCTTATTTTCTTATATCCTCATTCCTTAAGGCAACCAAGTATTTACCCATCCAAGATGCTTCCTTTATACAGCCCTAACACTGGCACTGAATTTACTAAATTATTAAAAATTACCTGTCTTAGACAGATGAAGGTCTTAGAAGGGGCCAATCATCTTTTTATTAATAAGACTTAGCACAGTGCCTAGCACTTATTAAATGTTCGATAAATACTAGCTCAATAAAGAAACTAACCAACAGTAGTTTGTAAGCCTACAACTCCTTCCCTCAGCCCTCTATTCCAATGCCCAAGTATTTTCAGTATTCTCTTTGCATTATTTGCATCAGACCCCACAAAGCACAGTAAGGGAGCTGAGCCTGGCCTTTCCACTTCTCAAACACTAATGCAGTTTGTTTCTCTTAATCTCAAATGGCATACCTGTTCTAACTCCCTAGATCTCTTTTCTCTCTTCTGTTCACATGTAACTTGCTGAAAGCTTCTAATTATTCCCCTTGCTTTTCCTACAAGTCTTTAACTGTCTAGTGAAAGGCAACTATTCTTCATAAAATTCTGGGTTTCCCATGGCACAGGTTATCTCAGTGGTGTCTTAGAGCTCTATGCACATGTTCTACTGATAGTTATTTGAGAACTGCAACTTTACAGGTAGGAGTGTTACTCAAGGTCCAAGAGCTGAAATCTACACATACACTCAAGTTTATGAAACAACTGCTTCACCTTTGTTTTCATAATCATATCACTCACAAATGCTGACACTGTCACCAACATTGGCAGTTCCCAATGTGGCAAAACTGAAAAGATCTGCATGTTTCAAAGGTACACTGACAGCAAAGCAGCTGCAGCCAATCAGTTATGACCCAGCCCCTGCCTCTTAATTACTTGACTTTTGGTCACAAGGTGTGTTGAAAAATCTGTATTGTACAAAAGACCAAAAAAAAAAAAAAAAAAACTCAACTACAGGAAAATAGAAAACTCCTAAACAATTCCACACTCATAAATTCCTTTCAGGAAGACCACACACCCATTCATGCTGAGGCTTCATGGCCCTTTCTAAACTTCACTGAAGAATTCTGTACTACAATGACTGTTGAATGTGGAGGTAGTATGACTCTACTCTTTGACATGGCTTTGTGGGAGCTAAAGATCCAAAACACCAGGATAAGACAAATTTTAAAGTTAAAAAAAAAATCCTACATAGTGAAACAGTTCATTTAGCTGGGCTGTCCACATCTACTATGAGACCCCAAAGCACCTATGAGGTGACTCAAATCATGTGATTTGCTCCAAAGAGTAACAAGTGAGTACCCTTACTGGGATAGGCTTTTCCCTAATAAACACTCTGCCTAAGTGCAGGGGGAGGAGGGGGGAAGGACCCAGGGGCTAATGACAGCAATCCTAGCTACCAAGGAGGCTGAGATCTGAGGACTGCAGCTTGAAGCCAGCTAAGCTCAAAAGTCCCCGAGCCGGGCTGGGAAGGTGGCTCAGTGGTAGAGCGCTTGCTTTGCATGCCTGAGGCCCTGGGTTCGATTCCTCAGCAAAAAGAAAAAAGCTGGAAGTGGCGCTGTGGCTCAAGTGGTAGAGCACTAGCCTTGAGCTGAAGAGCTGAGGGACAGCGCTCAGACCCAGAGTTCAGGCCCCACGACTGGACCCCTCCCCCCCAAAAAAAAGTCCCGGAGCCTCTTATCTCCAATTAACTGGTGAGAAGCAGGAAGTGGAGCAGTGGCTCACGTGTGGTAGAGCACTGGCCTTGGGCCAAAAAATGCTCAGGAGAGCCTGTGTAGGCCCCCAGTTCAAGCCCCAGTACCCACAAACACCCCAGAAAATCTGCATACAAGCAAAAGCAATTTCACATTTTCTAAATAACACATCTATCTACAAAGGAAAACAACAGAATTTCACATTGCTCGGTGGTGGACTATAAGGCAAAGAAAAGAAAGGATATTCCCACAAGTGAACTCATGGAAAACAGCCAGTCCCACCGCACATCTAAGATCTGTGCGTTTAAAAAACAGTACACGTCACAAGTCCACGTTGTAAAAACATAAAGGAAAGTGCATCTGCTTATGCATCGGTTCTAACAGGACCGCAGGGGCAGAAGGTAGCGAAGTCGATGGGCCATTCTACGCGCAGGGCGGCTGCGCTTCCGTCCCGGGTCCTCCGCACGCGGACCCGCGGGCGGCCGCTCGTCACCGCCATCCACGCCTCCGGGCCGGGCTGGCTCCGGGTCTCGCTCGCTCGCCAGCGCGGCCGCCCGAGCCGCGCCGGGCTCCACCCCCACTTCCGGGACGCTCCGGCGCGCGCCAAAATCGCTTTCTCCTTCCCTCCCTCTCCAAGTTTGCCGGACCCCCGGGGACGACCCGAAGGCCGGGGAGAGGCGGTGCCGCCGCCATTCAGGCCGGATCCAATCCCCTCCACCCCCCTCCCCCGATGCCGGCCCGAGGGTCCGTGCCCCAGGCCCCTCGTGCCGGTCCCGCCGATCCCGCGTTGACCCCGCCCTGCCCCGCATGTCCGGTCCTGCGTGCCAGCCCGTGATCCCGACCCCGCGTGGCTAGCTCCCCGCCCCGATCCCGCCGCGTGTCCGGCCCCACGCTCACATTTTCCGCTGCCGCTCGAACTCGGCCTTCTTCTCCTCCTCCTCGCGCTTCTGCTTCTCGTCCAGGCTGCTGCGCTTGCTCACCGTGCGCCCGAAGATGTCGATGCGGTCGGGCGGGGACGAGGCGCGCTCCCGCTCCCGCTCCCGCTCCCGCTCGCGCCGGGACGCGGCCGTGGTGGCCGAGCGCGAGCGCGAGCGCGACTCCCGCCGCCGGGTGCGCTTGCTCTCCCGGGACTTGGAGCGCTTCCGCACGCGCTCCTTGTCCCGCGACCGCGAGCGGGAGCGGCTGCGCTTCTTGTTGTGCTTGCTGCTCTTGGCGTGCTTGGAGCGGGACGAGCTCCGGCTCCGGGACCGGCCCATCCTCGGCGGCGCCCTCGCCAACCGCCGGCCTGGCCCGCGCGCCGCCTCCGCTCGCCGCCCCGCCGCGGCCACGGGCCCGCCGCCCGGTCGAAGCCGGAGGAGGAAGGAAGGCCGCCCGCCCGGACGCCCGCCGACTATCCGCCGCTCCTCGGGAGCCGCCGCCGCCGCCGCGAAACCGCCCTCGACGGGAAGGCCGCGACGCAAGGAATGTCTAAGATGGCAGCCGCGGCAGCACCGGCCGCCCTTCCCATAAGGCCCTGCGCGGAGCGTGCCGAGGCGTGGCCCCGCCCCTTGGCGGGCGTGGTCCCGCCTCCCGGCGAGCGTGGCCCCGCCTCCCGACGCTGCTGCCGAAGGCGGGCGGGCGCTGCCGAGCGCGCTCGGCTCCCTCCGCCACTCCTTCGGCGGGGCGTGGAGCTCGGCTCCTCCCGCTACTCCGGGCGGAAGCCTGCGGCCCGGGCCAGGTGGGGACAGTTGTTTCCTAGTGTAAACTACCACCACCTCAGCATGCACCGAATCCATTCCATTTCACGGAGACCGAGCCGGGCCGGGCCGGGGCCCGAGGGGCCGGGTGTGTCCGGCTCTCTGAAATCAAACCCCGGGGAGGAGAGGGCCGCAGGTGGCGGCGGAGGGGGCGCGGGCCGGAGTGGCCTGCGGGTCTGACCCTGGGTCCTCGCGCGGGACGCACGGTGCGCCGCCAGGTTCCACTGGACGGACGTGTGCTGGTACCGTAGAGCTGAGCCTGCGTTCATTGCCATGGCCCTTGACCTGGTTGGTTATTTGTTGCCGGTCCCGGGGCTTGAACTCGGGGCCTGGGCGCTGTCCCCGAGCCTTTTCCGCTGAAGACTAGCGCTCTGCCATGTGAGCCACAGCTCGGTTTCCAGGCTTGGGGCGGGGGGTGGGGGCGGGCAGGGGGGGCGCGGTAATTGAAGATGAGAGCCTCTCGGATTTTCCTGCACGGGTTGGCTTTGAACCGTGATCCTCAGATCTCACCTTTCTGGGTATACAGTAGTATGTATGTATATATATATATAACTATATACTATATATATAGTATACACACATATGTATGTATACACATGTATGTATACATACATATGTGTGCATGTGTGTATATGTATATATAATCATATATATATGGTTATAGACATGAGCCTCTGGCCCTTGGCTGTTTTTGTGCCAGTTTGGTCTTGAACTCAGGGCCTGGGTGCTATCCCTTAGCTTTTTCACTAGTTTTCTACTCCTGGAGCCACAGCTCCACTGCTGGCTTTCTTCTGGTTGGTGATAAGAGGCTGGCTTCCAACTGCAATGCTAAGATCTCCGCCTTCGGATTACAAATGTGAGCCACCAGTGCGTCCACTGATGATGAATTTGTATAATCTTCCTGCGTTAAGCACTACTGTCTTACAGGGGGGGACCTCGAGGTTAAACAGAGTTAAACAGCCTGATTTCTTTTTTTGGTGTGTGTGGGGGGTAATCACTCAGCTAGTATGTGGCCAGAGCTGGTGTATTCCTAGGAAGAGGATGCCCAGTCCTTGCCGAGAACCAACAATCCCCACCAAGCCCTGGGTAGGGAAAGATGTATTCCTGTGCAAAACAATGTCACTATGAAATCCTCCAAAAGAGACAACATTGTTATTTGCTGATGATAGGAATCTAGAAAAGCTGGTATCTCAACATTGTTTCAGTTCACTTGGATTAGGTTAAGCAGAAGCAAAACTAAGAACTCCTTTGAACAAGCCATAAAACACCTGGGATAAATCTTTTCAAGTTACAAAACCTTTTTAAATTTTTTTATTAACAGATCAATTATACACATTGTTGTTGTGATATTTACTACACACTGGTAGTGTACTTTGTTCAATTTCACTCTATTACTCTTTCTTAGCTCTTCTTTCTTCATCCCATCCTTTGAATAGTTGGTTTTGGGTTTTGTTTTTTTTTGGGGGGGGGGGGGTTAAAAAACCTAAACCTTACCTTCTAGTAGTTATACAAAGGGGTTTCAATTCCATGGCTCAGTTTCTGAGTACAGTGCATCTCGCTCAATGTCACCCCTTCCATCATCCTCCCTCATCTCTCCCAACCATCCCCCTCCGCCCCTTCAATGTTCGTATTTTCATTTTCACATATATATGTTGGATGTTATGCCTGCATTTTCCCACCCTTCCTCTATTTTGAACAGTTTTTTTTAATTGGTCTCGTGATGCTGTTTTCAAACATACATAATATTACTTAGATCATATTCCTCCTTAGATCATTACCTTTCCTCTTTTTCCCTCCTGCTGACTTCCACCTAAAATCACCCTTTTACAATTTTATCCTATTTTTATCATCTTAGCATTGTTTTGTTATCATTATTATTAGTACTGTTTAGGTCTAGATTCTACATGTAAGGGAAAACTTTCATATTTGTCTTTCTGAGTTTGCTTATCTTGCAAACTCACCACGACAATCTCCAGGCCCATCCATTTTCCTGCAAATGACCTAACTTGCAAAAATCTTAAGGATGAACTTTGGCTGAAAGACATAATGCCTCCTGAGTAAGTAGAAAACAAGGTTCGATTTTCTCAGGTGAGTAGTTGGTTTGGAAGGTATGCCAGTTCTCCCCAAGGCAAATGACAAAATTAGTACAGTTCCCAGCTGAGACACAAGTTATCTTTGGGATGTGTATATTAGGGCTGGTTACATAATTTGAAGTTTTATATATATGGAAAGCCTCCTTATTGTGAATTATCAGGAAAAGGTGAGTAGAGTAATGTCATAGTCATAATCCTTTGGGCTGCTAAAGGGAAATACCCCAAACTGGGTTCGTTATAAACAGCAGAAAATTATTTTTCATAATTGTAGAGGCAGGGAAGTCCACAGTTAAAATTTCTAGAGGACCTGTGTAAGCTTCCAAGCTTACACAGATAAGCTATAGGGATAGACTTAGGGCAAAGGGCAGAAAAAAGATTAGGGTATTCCTTGCTACACCTTTCATGACCCACCCTGTTACCTTTGCAGAGCACTGTAATCACTTCCCACATTGGCTGTTAGATTCCATCACAAGACTCTTTTTTTTTTTTGTTTTTTTTGGGTCCGGTCGTGGGGCCTGAAGTCTGGGCCTGGGCGCTGTCCCTCAGCTCTTCAGCTCAAGGCTAGCGCTCTACCACTTGAGCCACAGTGCCACTTCCAGCTTTTTTCTTTTTGTTTATGTGGTGTTGAGGAATTGAACCCAGGGCCTCATGCATGCAAGGCAAGCGCTCTACCACTGAGCCACCTTCCCAGCCCCTCCATCATAAGACTCTTGAATGTAGTGATTCACACCTAACCACTCAGGAGGCTGCGATGTGAGAATCAAGGTTCCAACCTAGATTGGGCAGAGAGTCTGTAAGACTCTTTATCTCCAGAAAACAGGAAGTACAGCTGTGGCTGGAAGTGGTAGAGCACTAGCCTTGAGCAGAAAATCTCAGGAAGAGTGTCCAGACCCTGAGTTCAAGCCTCACAACTAAAAGCAAAAAGAGGTCAGAGGGAACTTGTTTACCCTTCTACTGTGTGAATGTAACGAGAAGGCACTGTCTATGGAGCAGAAAACAGCTCTCACCAGACACCATTTTTCTGCTGAGCCTTCGTCTTGCTTGCAGTTTTCAGAGCTCTGTTTTTTGTAAATTACCCTGTCCATGGTATTTTGTTATAGCAATCTACAAGGACTAAAGCCTGGGTCCCATTCACTCGATTTTCCTTCCACAAGTTAATCACCTGCCCACCCAACACAATGCTGATTAGGTGTGAACATGTGCATTGAGGAGGCAGGCACATCTAGAGCATAGCAGATAGTAAAGATACGTTCTGTAATACAGTGAACAAGCTCCATCATCACAGAAATCATTAAATAGTGGGAACAGAAGGCTAGATAGTTGTTGTTCAGAAACGTTCAACTAAAATAACCTCTAATATAATACTTGCCCTCAAAATTATGGAATAATTTCTGTCAATTAGACATCAGTCTGTATATTTCTACATATCAATATTTATCTGTATACCTATAGTTGCACATACACGTGCATATATATACATGTACATATATGTGTCAACACACACGTATGATGCATTGTGAGTCCTTACATCCATCCATGTACCGATCTCAAATTATGTCTGTCATATACAGACAGCTATTTCTAACTTGTGATTATATAGACAGTTATTTGTAACTTGTGACGTGCTAATTTCTTAGAGCTGCCAAAAACCAATCAGCGCATGCCCATTAGATACTAACAGTTCTAGAGTCCTCAAATCCTGAAATCTGGGGATTCTTTGAAGGTGCTGAGTCAGAATCTGATAGGCATCTACCTCTCCATGTCTAGGGATTGCTGGTAGTGTATTTGTCCAATCTCTGGTGTCTTCTTGTTACATTCAATGTGTCTCAGAGTTCTTTTTTTTTTCCTATTTTCTTTCTTTTTGTTGGTCATGGAGCTTGAACTCAGGGCCTGGACTCTCCCCCTGAGCTCTTTTGCTCAAGGCTAGTGCTCTACCACTTTGAGACACAGTGACACTTCCAGTTTTGTGGTGGTTCATTGGAGATAAGAGTCTCAGGGACTTTCCGGCCTGGGCTGGCTTTGAACCATGACCCTTGGATCTCAGCCTCCTGAGTAGTTAAGATTATAGATGTGAGCCACCAGCATCCAGATGTTATTTTCTTTTATGCAATGCTAGGTAGGATTAGAACTCATGCATGTTACGTGAGAACTCCTCACTCTGGTCATTCTGCCCATTCTTGTAATAGCACAGAGGATTAACTTTAGACCCCAACCATGCCCCTGCATGAATGCCTGGTAATGGCATCTGCAAAGGTTCCTTTTCCAAGGAAGAACAAATCTAAGGTTTCAGTTAGACAGAAATTTGGGAAGGAGAGGCTCTTTGAGACCCCGTTTGTACCTCTTTCTCCCTATGCCACCTGATGCCTGTTCCCTTGGCAGGTTATGTCCTTGACAGCACTTTTCATGTTCGTAATTTAAGAAACGTTAGCTTGTTTAATAACCCTTCCTCTTACTAACAACCGGGCTCCTTGGGGAGATGGCTA